CGTACACGCTCCCCTTACCACCCAGCCTTGCACAACATCCCATTTCTTCATCGGGAGCAGCAGCCGCAGGGGCTGCCCGGCCAGCTCGGTGGCAGGTAGCCCCCGGGGAGGCTGTGGGAGAATGCTGGTGGAAAACGCAGGGTTTTCGGCAGAGTTCTGCGCCCAGGGCACCCAGCACCAGAGCTCTGCTACCGTAACTAACAGCAAGCCTGCACTTTCTGGCTGCAACTCAGGTTGTTGGGCTTAACTCCCCTCACCCAATACCTCCCAAGCTGTTTGGGACAGGGTGCAGAGGATGCTGCTCTCTTCCCCAGGGCTGGCTGCTGCAGCCTTCCTTCTCCCCTGCCCCGTGCTCCCCGTGCCTCCTTCTCCGCCGAGCGCGACGGGAAGGCAATCTTTTTGACTAATGACTTCGTAGGACGGAGAAGTCTGAGGCTGCTGTTATTTGGTTACCCTACAGTGACAGGATAGTTTTTAGGCTCGTAGACAACTACAAGAATTAACATGGACAGATTTAGAGCCTGAATTTTTTAGAAATAGCTGGCATTTTCAAAAAACACCAGAGAAACCAAGATAAATAGCATGATCTTTGAGCAGTAATGTTACTACTTTATTTCCAGAAAACACAGGAGTACTTTCTCCCACAGCCCTATTCACTGTATTTTAAACTAGGACCATCCAGTCCTGTCGATCAAAACAGGAGAGTAAAGCAGAAATAAACACTTTGAACAACAGGAAATGGAATACAGCTACTACCATTCTGACATGTTATTTAACTGAAAATTAAAATAGAGAAAGCCTCTGACCACAGAGGAATGATCCTGTTCGGTTTTTTATCATCTGATGCATTTAAAAACTAAGGCATCAAGGGCTCCTTCTCCCCTCACTCCAGCAGTTCACAGCGTGCTACCTGCTCCTGCGAGGGACGAAACAAACCAACCTACTTCCCAGGCAACAGAGAAAAGGCAGGTGAGGGGGACAGGGGGTTGCACTTCAGGGGTCATTGGCTCTTTTCACATTTCAAACTTCCTTTCAAAACCCTGTTCTGCCCTTGTTCCAGCATCCCCCAACACAAAGCCAGGTCACCTGAATCCCCACGCAGATCGCAAAACGCTCCCTTCGCGTCCTTTCAGACGCTGTCCTTTTTTTCAGGGCAAAGCAGCACAGTTTAAACAGTCTGTACCCCATGCATCACACATCTTATTTTCTTTCTGATATCTGATGCAACTGAATTGCCAGGCAATCTTCAACAGCAGCAGTGACCTTTCATATGCTTTTATGGATGGGCAAATTTAATTTCTAAAAATAGATTCAATTTCTGGAATATATATTTATTTCAAACACACGCTGTATCTTCCCTCATTCTAAGCTGCTTTGTAGAATTATGTCAAGCTTTAGCTGCAAAACTGAAGTGAAGCTCTTCTCCCTCACAAGACGATGATGAGGATGCTACAAAATGGCGTAAATAAAATATGCACTGTGATCAGCTGAGCAGGAACATAACGGCTATAACCTATTACCAAACGCATAACACTTCCTTCAATGCTTTCCCCAAACAGATATCCTGTAAATAGTCACCTCTCGACTTTGACATGAAAGGGCATCATTGACTTAAATAAAATGCACATAAATATTTTAGCTGCTACAGTGAAAAGGAATTATTTATTGTAACAATGAAATAATAAAAAGAACATTTCTTCAGTTATTTTAGTCCGCACATCTGAGAGCAGACTGTGCCTAGCTGTTTTGCTGATCCTGCCATAAAACCAGTTCCTCCTGTGACTGCATGGCTGTTTTGCAAGGCATCAGGAGAGAGAGAACATCAAGCTGCCACAAAAATGTTACAGAAGTGAAAAGGACAGGATCTGGAGACACATACAGAAAATATATATTTTTTCCTGAAAAAGGAACTAAGCCTTACAGGGTCAAAAAATGAGTGCAAATGTGACCCCCAGAGCCAGCTCCTGTTCAGCCTAGCTGCAAGGAGCAGCAGAGCCCGACTGTGAGCAGGGAGATGGACACAGTCAGCAGGACCAAGGTGACCTTGGCAAGCAGAAGTAATTTGCCCCAGTAAAAGGGCTTTCACAGATTATTCATTTCAGCTTTCCATCAAAACAGCTTCCAAATAAAAGGCAGCCAGAGAAACGCTACCAGCGGGGCTGCAGGTACCCGGAGTGCATGGGCAGAGGCCAAGGTTCAGCCCATCTATCAACAGGACATTACAGATTTCATTCTGGGGCGTAAAACCCAACCACAATCATCAAGAAAACAGAATAAAGTAACACTCGGTACTTTCCCAACTCAATGTTATTCTAATATTTAATTAAGTATTTTTTTAGCCTACAACACTATATGCCACCAAATCCCTTTCTGTATGTTCTTCTGAGACAGGCTTTTTTAATGCACCAAAGTGCATTTTTAATAACTGTAAAGGGCATCTAGCTAGACTCAAGTAATCTGCTCTGATAATTAAATATAGCAATTCCATGAATTAAAATACTTCAACCTCACAATGCATCACAGTGAGATGCTGGGACGGGGCATATGGGGGCAACAGGCAAGCTAAGAGGCTTCAGCAGCGCGGAGAACGATTTCTCACGGCTTTGCAGCCGTTCGGAAACGGGGGACACAGCTGGCAACACCGGTGCTGGCGGAGTGGCAAAAACACACGAGTTACCACTCAACTAGCAGGAACACTGCGAAACCTCCTCCTCCACCACGCAGTACTAGGGAAGCAGACCTAGTTTATTCAAACTCCTAAAAGCAAAACATATTTAAAAATACAAAACAAGGGGGGAGTGGGTGGGGTGGGGTGTGTAAGGCGAGGCAATTGCATACGATTCTGCAATTAAAAATTGGGTTGGAAACCGCCGATTAGATGTCCATGTGTCCAAAACTTAGCTATTTGAATAGAAGGCTTGCTTGGCTTGGTTTTAGGCAACTGCATAAAGACTTAATTGAAAACAATTTTATTTAAAAAAGCCTACACAACTTCCCAATCACTGAAGAAATTATGCAGCTCCTGTGCACGTAGGTTAGGTCCATCTCTTTGCTTATTATTAAATTTTATCAGCTTTCAGGAGCCCAACAAAATGTCATATAATCTATAAAATCTACGAGCTATTAATAAGCATGAGAACCCCAAACCTAGTAAGCCACTTGTATTCATAAAATTCACACTGAATTGAAAAAAACTGAAGGAAAAACATTCTGCAGAGACGTTTTAGCATAAGAAGTTCCTGGACAACAAAAATCTTACTATACATGATAAAAAGGAAGGCATAATGATTTAATTTTGCATGTGAGAGAAATGTAAAATAATAGTTGGGGTGGGATGGAGTTTCTGGAAGCCTTTTTGTAGCTTGCGTGTTTCCTGTGATCTTGGAATATTACAAATACAATAGCGTTGGCTCTGGCTCACAAAAATCAAAAAAAGAGGCACAGCAACATAGGTACAAGTAGTGTAGCACCTTTGCTAACCCTGGATAATATTAAAAATATAAAAGCGCTGCATTAAAAATGGATACAGATTTTTCAAGTTCTACCAAGTTTTTAATAAAGTATTTAGAAGATAGGTTAGTACTTTTAAGATACATTTTTCCTGATGATGTGCCTTTAAAAGCAATTTGGAGAGCAACTTACTGCTCAACTTTTCACTGTAAGCAGAAACTGCTGAGTCTAAGCACATATTTCCACCTGCAGCAGTAGATAAGGCAGTAGATTTGGCTGCTTTGCCTTACATATTCCTGTAAGGTTTTCTGTTTAACTCTACAAAACCACGCTGTGAACATTTCGATACATGGCCCACATACCAATTTATGAGATGGAACTTGGTTGGTCTAAGGGAGGTTTGGAAGTAGCATTCTCTACGTAATCCATACAGCCACTCCACCACTTTCATAAGCCTTAGTGCAGGATTTCTGCTCTTCACTGATCAGACAGACCAGGGAAAAACTTGCTTGAAACAATCCTTAGAGATGCACAAGCATCCATCAAGTATTTTTGCTTTGGGGAATACCACGTTGTCCAAACCAAAGCCATTAGTGAGAAAGGTTAAGTACAACTATTGATCATACGGTATCTTTTTTGCAAGATACGAAATCACTGACATTATTTGTTCCAATAATTTCAAAAGAAAGAATTCTATTTTTATATTCTTTAACATTTTTGGCTTTGAAATACAAATTAAGTACAGAAGAAAAATTAAGGAAATGGTACAAATCAAAAGCCAGCATTTAAATACGACCAAAGCAGTTTCAGATAATTTGAATCAGATCTGTTGTTTGTTCCCCTTCAATTTTCTGATTCACACTCCTTAAGCTGTATTATTTGTCAGAATTCTGGATGTGGAAATATTCCATACGCTGTTTCAAAAAAGCTTTATTGGCCACGCAGCAAAAAAACGTGACAGTGTAGAAACGTGCTTTTCTTGTGAGATCACTAAAGAAGGTTGTGGAATAACTAATGGTCTATTACAACAATGACATGAGAGACTTCAGTGCAATCTCTAATCCCTCCAGCTTTTAAAAGAATAAATCAAAGTAAAGATGGAGAAATTGAGAAAAAAAAATTTTTTTGAGAACGACATATTCTAACTTGAGAAACATAACTTCAGCATATAATAATGACTTTAGTGTCACTAAAAGAGCTCCATGTCAAGGTATTTCCCATGAAAACACAAGAAAATGGGTAACTTATGAATACACCATCAAGTACTTCACCTCTGTTTATGGGTAACGGTATCACTACAGCTGTTTTATTCTATGTTTAAGCCTCATTGCAATGCTTTAAGGAGCTTCCTGTTCCTTTCCCCTGTAACAGCAGCAGCAGTTCCAGAGAAGAGATTTCATCTCCTGCACATCCTCCCGTTGTTCCAAGGAGGAGCTGGTTAGCCAAGTGCCCCTTACAATGGAGATCAGAACTGATGAATTTGCCAGAAACCAGTTCAACTACTTTCTCCACTTCCTGAACTGAGCAAAAGGTGTTTTATATTGTCTTACCTTTATGGTTTTGGTCTGGAGTCTGAGTCCGTTTAAAGTGTTAATGGCTTTCTCTGCATCCTTTGGATCAATGTAGTTAACGAATCCATACCCTAAACTCTGCCCTGTTGAAACACAAGAAGAGGAAAAGGACTCAGTAATTATTATTTTTTTTTTTTAAAGCACAGGAACAACTGCCGGGAGTGGGATCATAATTTTCTTACACCGTTCGTTTCACCCCTGCTTTCCCCTATGGTCTTTACACCGTTCTTCACCACTTCAATATCTTCTTAACACGGCAGAAGCTAATGTAAGATTTTTAAACTTGCTCTGCTGAAGGTCCTACTTTAAAAACAAAAAGAAGCATCCCCCCTCCGCCCTGAGTTTACTGAATAGTGTGTACAAGGCTTGACAGTGGCAGAATTGTGTAATAGTTTTGTGCCAAGTTCCTGATAAATGTAACTGGCTGACCTGCCAGAGCAGTAACGAGGCCACCTCTTAAAAAAAGGTAAAACACATGGACATAATTTTGCTCTGTTTATAAACAAGTGTTCAAAACAAAAATTAGGAAACAAGTGTTTTAACACTAACCTGGAAGCAGCTGACTGAGAAAGACAACCACCTTTACATCTCCTTCTATTGCTCAGTGAGCAACCAGTAAATAGGAAGAGAACGGACAGATCAAATTGCAGGAGAGTAAGAGACCACATTAAAACTTTCCTCCATGGATTAGAGATGACGGCAAAACCAAAACAGTACAACTGCTGCTGCGCACAGGATGGCAGGAGCCCACTTTAGCAGCCAAAATCATTTCAACAGCTTCTGTTTTACTAGCGAGATCTGCGTTTGCAGTGGCAGAAGAGGGGACTGCGTTGATAGCTGGGATAAGTTACGGAGCTGGAGAGGCCGTGCTGTGAGCACCAGACACACCGACTCACACAGCACAGGCGCAGAGCTGTGGGTCTGCAGGGGGTTGTGAGAACCAGTACCCAAGAGGCAGCTTTCCCCGATTCCCAAGTACCAATTTTGCAGCATCAATTCTATTAATGCAACGTGACAGACAGCCACTTCCAGATCCCTTCCTTCTCCAGCTTCCTACTGAAATTATTTTGCACATTTGGAAAACAAAGCAATTCTTAAGGTTTTTTTTTTTTTGGTTTGTTTTGTTTTTGTTTTGTTTTGTTTTTTTAAGGCACATACACTTAAAATCAAACACAGATAATCAAGTTTCAAGAATAAGCAAGCCCAAGCAGGCAGGCGAGCAGTCCTGTATTTCAGCCGTGCTCCTTCTCATACACCCTTCAGTGTATCTGGAGAACAGCAAAGCCTCTGGGTGCTGACGTGCAGGGGATCTCAGTGCTCCTGCTCGCCAGCAGCCAGCAAGGGAACATGCGACAATCCCTCCCAAGGAGGGGGAGAGCACTCGTGCAAGATTCCTGTCCGCAGGAGCGGCAAACAGGGACCCAGCTCCTGCTCCCCAGGAGAAAGCGGAGGGTGGGAGAGCAGCTGCACACCGAGTGCCTTGATGTACCCTGGAGGCATGGATCCTGCCTCCCAGGCACAAAGCTTTGTTTCTTTGTCTCCTGGACTACAAAAAAGCATCTGTGTGTTTCTCAAAGTCAGATGCCACCAAAAATACGGTATTTGCAGTAACACAGATATCAGGAGCACTTCTGTCTTATGAAATCAGATCAAAGCACTAAAAGCTGCTAGCTATGCGATGGAAGACCTTAAAAATCCAGGGAAACTCTGCAGTTCATGCCTGAAGTGCCCACATGCAGGCGTAAGGATAAAAAATGGCTGTTTTCATATATCCAGGGAGCAATTCCATCCAATCTATTTAACTTCAGGAAAAAAAAGGATAAAAACCATACTCGGTCTTCCTGGAGAGCTGAATTATTCTCAACAAAAATGTTCTTACTCAAGTTATACGACATTAACCAAGAATGAGCTTGAAGTCTGGCTGAACACGGAGCCTGGAGCAGTAATACTGTAAAGATACTTTTCACACCGTGCCTTCCTCTCCTTGTCTACCGAAGGTATTTTATACTGCCCCAATCCCTATGCCTCTGAACACATCAAATCCTTAACACATTTAATCTTCAACAGTCCTAGGCAGAAGAAATCCATTCTCTAGGAAACTAGCCTTGTTTATGGATGAAGGGAGATGCAAGGATCTGGGCTTGGACAGCCTGAGCTCGTGTGCCTACTTTTCCTATCAGCCATCTAGTGACTTTTGGAGGTACGCAGATAACACGAGTAGCTGACGCAAGGCACTGGGACTTATGTCAGTCTGTCTGAACATGGGCTTCGGCATCCAGACGCTCTTCAAGGCGCATAGACTGACCAACCTCTAAAATACACTTTTTTTTTCTTTACAATCTGGTATGAACATTCCTACTTGCATCAATACTTCTGCAAGGAAGAAACCATGGATAAACTCACAGACAGCTCAAGCTGTAGGGTAAGGCTCAAGCTGGAGGGAAAGGAAATAACGGTAATACAAGAAAAGAATGATACAAAGATTTCATAGACCATTCACTCCTTTCCTTGGACTTCTCCAGTATATTCAAGTTTAGATATCATCACCTGATTCAAAACGTAAACAATTTTTTTCTTGAAGGTGAAGGATAAGGAGTCCCAACGTGAACAAAGCCATCTGCATGCATGTGGAACCTGGCTTAAAGAAAACGATTACATTGTTCTAAGAAAAATTTTATTGCAATAGGTACACAGAAATTGATTTCCTCTTGTTAGTATATACACCTGAACATCATCTAAGATATAAAACTTGTAATAGAATTTAAGGCCTGTAACTAATAAGCTCTTGGCTACCATTTCAGATCAAGTACATTAATTGCCATATTGGCTGTATCATATCCTCACAAAAAAGGGTGGGTCTACTTCTTTAGTCTTTAAAAAAAAAAATCTCAAACCCCACACCCTTTGCGGCCCACTGCAATCTTGGTGCAGTTGTTTCAATCAGCAAATTCCTGTTGCTGCTTTCTGCCATACGCTTCACTTAGTACCAGTGGAGCTGAGGGGGGAAAGTCTTTTAGTTAAGAGCTTGCCACTTCAGACATCTATTTTGTGTTTTCAAGCACCTCCCCTAAACACCATCATTTAATGAAGACAGATCCCCCTCTCCCCAATATATATAAAAAAAAACTTGAAAAGAAAATAAACCCAGAGAAAATAATTTGTGAAAAGCTTTACAGCTTTAAAGCTGGCAGACTTCATAAAGTTTTAGTGTGCTAAACATTTACAGCTAAGAAACAAAAAAATATATATCCAGCTAAAAATACTATTTTTCAAATTACTCTCAAGAGAAATACACCTTATGTCAGACAAAACACAGACTCTAGATATGAAAGAACTGAAAATTGTTACTGGTAGAGAAAGAAGAGGAGGATTTGTTCCAGAATACAGTGAAGCCGCAGGAACTTCCAGTTTTTTTTTCCTCATTAGGTACTCTTATTGCATGTACTCAAAAAGGGTAACATTTCTTCGGACACAATCTGGCAGCACAAAGCAAGCACCTGGACCTCTCAGTGGGATCCCACACAGACACTGAAGTTCATCCCCATGCTACACTTCCCAGGAACAGCACCATAAATAGTAAATATTTTCTGTGATTTGGAATCCAATAGCTCACCACACACTGCGATTCAGTAGGGCAGGCAAGAGATTTCTAGATAATCCTAAAACACCACCTTGTTGTATTACTATTGCCATTGCTCTTCCTGAATGTTTTCTCTAGCTTGCAGAAAATGCATAGCGGACCTCCTATGATCTGGTAAAGAATAGGTCTAAAAGTGCGTGATATCATCATTAAAAGAGATCAAGGACTTAACAGTCTTAAAAAAACCACATGAAAAGCCAAGCCCAAGCTGTTAATGTATGTATTTCATATTTTAGAAGGCTCTATCTCAGAGCTGAAGATCACCAAGATAAAAACAGACCATGAGAAAGAATATGGAAAAAAAAAAACTGTATACCCTGTTTATAACATTTATCCATACACCCAAAAGCCTGCATCTATGAAAAAGCCACTGCCAAGGACCTGTACCTGCCTTTACTTCCTTTTAAGCTAGTCTGCTTAGGCCAATTCCATATTTAAATTAAGAGATAAAGGGAAAACAAGATAGAAATCAATGTAAGTTAGAACAGAGAAATAGGAAACAAACACAGAAGAAATCTCTGGCTAGTAAAGGTCAGAATAACAAAAGCTTTTTTTTACTACAGGAAGAAGATTGCTTAACACACTCATGCTGACTCATCAGCAGACAGTAATAGTATGGAGAAAACAGATGATTTATGTACACCTGAAAAAGCTATGTGAAGTTCCAACCCAGGTGGATGTTAAACAGGAGCTGCGAGAGTTATACCTGTTTGAACTAAATGATCTGGATTACTTGTGCAGACTAGACTCCAAAAAAGGGGCAAATGGGTCTTTTGCCATTTTCAGTAATTCTTACAGCACTAAGCAAATTCCAGGAGTCTAGAGGAAAGACAATTTTGCACTGAAATTCAAAAAGGGAGAACTGGATGACCCAAGTAATTACAAGGTCCATCAGTCTAATGCGGAGGAAGGAAAAATTAAAGAATACTCGATACTGGACTCTAATAATAAAGAATTAGAGAGGGGTAATAAAATCAATGTTAATCAAATTAGGTCTATGGAAAATAGATTCTGTCAAACTAAACTGACATCCTTCTTGATGAGATTACAAGTTTGACTTAAATTTTAAGAATGTCAATTTAATAGCATTGATATACTTGGTCTTCTATAAAGCATTTTATTAGGTACTGCTTATTAATTGACTAAAACAAAATTAACATGGTACACATTAAATGGATTGAAAAAAATAATCAGTCAACATAGCTCTAACTGGGACTTGTGAATAGGGAAATGTCTTTCTAGTGATTTTTCTACAGGTCTCTCTCAGGAAACAGATCTTGGCCCTAAACTGTTTATTTCCATCGATGAGTGGAAAAAAACTAAACTCCTTGCTCTTGAAGGTCATTGACTGCAGAAAGACAAGATGAGAGGACAAGAACAAAGAGGATAGAGTGAAGGTGCAAAGCAATTTAAGCTCCTCAGTAAACTATAAATACATACATT